GAGCCCCTGTGTGACATGGAAGCCAGCTCTGCAGGAATCTGGCTCTTGACTGGGGCCCTAGCACCCCAGATGCTGGCACCACTGAGGATGGGGTGCGACCAGAATCAAGCCAGGAGGCAGAGATGACGCACTGAGCACAGAATGGGGACCATGATGCAAGGACCCACTGGGGACTGCACACTGGGGTCAGGACAGGAAGTGTACCCTCATCCCCGAGGCCTGAAGATGACCCCGACAAGGCCTGCATCCCCCGCCCACCCTGGGCTCTGCCCTGCTGTCCCTGACCCTGCAGATCTGGGTCCTCCGGCCGCACCTGCACGCACCTATGACCACATAACAGAGCCACTGGCCTGTGATGGCCAGGCCAGGCCAGGCCAGCTCTGGACATGAGGGAGATGGGGCTGGGAGGAGCTCAGGGCCAGGGCGCCCAGTGGCTGGGCCTGCAGTGCCCTCTCAGCCCACCTGGCCAGTGTCCACAGCCTGCCCGGATCAGCCCGCAAAGCCATGGGGCCTTCCTGCTCCTGCTCCCCAGGGCCTGAAGGTGTTCTGGATCTAGACTGCAGCACACCACCGTGACTACACCGTGTGCTCCACACGCCCACCCCATAGGACCACCACAGACCCTGGGCAGCGGGCCTGAGCCATGGGCAGGCTCTGCCTGCCTACTGCTGCTCCCTTCTCCAGCATCTTCTCCCACCCATTTCTCAGCACTGGGGTGGAGCCCTGGGGCTCCCACTGAGTTGCCACAGCTCCTTTCTGCTCTATCTCAAGACAGGGTCTCACTAAGTTGCCCAGGTTGAATTCAAACTTCTGATCTTTCTGTCTCAGTCTCCCAAGTAGCTGGGATTCCAGGTGTGCATCACTGCGCCTGGCTGAGTTGCACTTTAATAAATCTCAAAGCACTTAAAAAACCCAGCCACAGAGGCAGAGACAGGAGCTAGCACCCTGGTTCCAGACCACTGTCACTCTGGCAGAGTGGTGCTACCACATGCCTCAGGTCCCCCACACTGGGGTGGGTGGCCAGTCTGCCCACAACAGCTCAGGGCAAAGCAGAGTCAATGGCCCTGATGTCTAGCCCAGCCTGGCCCAGCCATCACTCAGCCTGTAAACCAGGGAACAGTGTGGTCTGAGGGGCCAAGGTCAAGGTGACCTGCCCATTGGGCGTGGCTGGGAGAGGCGATAGGACCAGGCTGGTGGGCATAGCTCTGGGTTAGGGCCCTCATCACTGTGCAGGGCCTCCTCTCCTGGGAACAGAGTGTGGGGCGCCAGCATCCTCCTTTCATTTCTGCTTTCTGAATGAAAGCAGCCCGTGTGCTGCAGGGCCCCGACCCCAACCCTGACCCCGACCCTGACCCCAACCCCACCAGGCCCAGCCAGCTGCTGGCCTCCAGGGCTGTACTACCATGGCCACCAGGGAGCCCAGGGTCCCAGCTGTACCAAGGGTCCCATGCACAGGAAGCCCCGCCACCCACTACCCACTGATCGACCCAGCACACAGGCCCCACTGTCCCACAGGGTGCGTCAGCTGATCAGCGCAGCTGCCCACAGCGCACCCTTCCTGTTTTCTAGTCAGAATTGCGTGGTAAGGCTGCAACACCAGGGGGAGGTGGCGCCCAGAGATGCCCTGACCTCCACACACCCACTTCTCCTTTCAGGCACTGAGCAAAATCTTGGATGCTGCCCAGGAAGCGCAAGAGGGGCAGTACACAAGGACTGGCCAGCCTGGGGAGCCACTTATAGGGCCTATGAACCCCAGAAGGCTGTATGTCCTCCTGGGCCTTCGCAGATGTAACTATGCTAAGGACCTGACAGTTGCGGTGGGGCCCACCTGTCATCCTAGTCACAGTGAGCACGAACATAGCTGCAAGCTTGAGGCCAGCTTGGGCCTCACAGCCAGACCCTGCCTCAAAAAAAGCAAAATAAACAATGACAGAAAAAGAACAGGATGTCAAAGTGAGGTGCCCCGAGATTCAGGATGAGCTCTGAGTGGACAGAACATATGGACAACATCTAGACCATCTTCAACCCTGACCCTGACTAATGGGGGAAGGTAATTGGAGACCCAGAGAGGGGAGGGCTGTACAGGTGCACACGGTGATGCACCCTCAGGCAGAGGGACACCAAGACCCCTGAACCTTGCCAGCCGGCTGAGGCCTGGCACCGAGCGGCCCACCAGCTTCTGGGAGGAAGAAGGCCTGCCCTCACAGGCCTCGGGGATGCCCCACCATGAGCCCAAACACCCTGACCCTCATGCCTGCATGTCTCCCTTGGGGCCCAGCATCCCCCTCAAATGGTGGAGCTGCTGTGTGGCTGGGGACTGTAAAGCACAGACCATAAGGACCTAGTACCTCAGCAACCCTGCCTGCCTCAGGCTGGCACTGCGGCGTCCTGGAACCCCAGGGTGACAATGGTGGCAGTGCTCATGCAGGGAAGAGCTGGTCCCCAGGGTACGTCAGCAATGTCTGGGACATCCAGGGATGTCACATCCCTGGGTGCAGGGCTTGGGGATCCTGCTGTGGAGGCTGCCCCATATACCCTTCAATGTGAGTGACAGCGCCCGCCTATCCTAGGAAGACTCTGCCCCCAACCTGCACAGAGCCCATAGGGAGCGGCTCAGCTCCAAACCCAAAGCTCTGGTCCCTTCCCACCCGTCCCTACAGCTGGGCATGGGGGCACATGCCTACCATCCCAGTACTCAAGAGGACAAGGTTAGAGAATCTCTCTGTGTGTTCAAACCCAGCCTGGGCTATCCAGCGAGACCATGCCTCAGAAAACCAAAAACCAAAGTCTCCTGGCAAGCAGTTACCCTGTGACATGGTGCTGGCTCATGCTGGACTGGAACCTAGAGTGGACACCACCCTTGTACCCTGGGGACAGCCTGAGGAGCCCAGATCTGCCAGCTCATGGAACTGACCAGGGCTAGGAGGGGTGCCAGGGCCCCAGGGGCAGCCTGGGTCAGAGCTGGGGAATGAATTCTGGGAACCAGAACACCAATGAAGCCAGATGCCACGCCACCCCCATGGGGTCCCTGAGGCTACCAGCGGCCCTGCCAAAACTGCACACCTTCACCCAGAACTCAGGCGCCGGGCCGAGTCTACAAGGAGAGCTGTGGCAGTGCAGGCAGGAAGCTCGTGAAGGGCTCGCTCAGCTCCTGGGGCTGAGCTAGGACCTGGCCCCTGCATCGCTGCTCTTAGGCCTGCCTCACAGTAGTCTTTAGACTCCATGGACATGGTCCCTGCCTGGGACCCTGACTCTCTATTTCCATCTCCCACCACCATCACCATCACAACGTAGCCCTGCCACTGGCATGGCACCGTGGGCTGTGGGCTGAGTCAAGCCCACCCTCTCTGCCAGCTCATGGCCCAAACTGACCCGTGGTTCAGTGACAGTGCCACCCTTTTGGCCCCAGCACCCCAACACTATCAGGATGGGGCCCAAGCCTCATCCAAATGGCAGCGCTGGAGTCAGAGTACACAGAAGGAAGTGGCCACACTGAGGTGTGGACACACAGGGGACGGCCATGGGTGTCCTGCAGCAGAGCTCAGAGCCGGATCCAAAGCTCAGACCTGGGGGAGAGGAGGAGAACCTCAGTGTGCTTTCCTATCCAATGTGCAAGGCCTGGCCACCATGCTGGACTCTGCCTTCCAATGCCTCCTCGAAGCCTGTGCCTAACTACTGGCCAAGTGAGTAGGAGCTCAGCGATGCGTGCTGAGTGGGTGTGGCAACAGGAACACCACCATCCCGGTGCCCAGGGCTTCTAGAGTTGATGCCCACCTGGTATTCACACAGGACCCCAGGGGATGCCTTGAGGGGACTTCAGCTAGGAAGGGGCATAAGACCTAAGAAGCAGGAGCTGACTACTTGTGGCTCTGGTCCCCCTTGGCCCAGGAGACAGAAGAGGCCAGTGGGGGGGCAGTCATAGCTCCAAGGAGGGCGGGGCCACCAGTCCCCACTCTGTCCACATATGGGTGACAGTCTCACAGTGCTGTAGGTGAAGGTGCCCCACACTGAGAGACTGCCTGTGGGCACCGAAGCCGGGAGTGTTCAGGTCCCTTCTGTAAGAGGACACAGAGTTGGCAGAAAGCCTGGCTGGACCTCCTGCAGCCACCTTCTCTAGAAGGTGTGGGCACCCAAGGGAGTGAGGGCGATGTGACATAGCTGTCTCATGCATTCTCGGGACTCACATAGCAAAGACGTCTACAAGCATCAATGCAGATCAACCGTTTCCCTGAACACTGCCCATTCCTGGCTTGCCAAGCCCAACCCAGCACTATAAAAGAACATTACGAGGCAGTAAAAAAAGCTCAAATCACCAGCCTGGAGCACCCGCACCACAGACCTAGCTCTGTGCCATCCCAGCAGGCAGAGCGACAGCCCCATGGGCTTTTCAGATGGGGCTCGTGTGACTGCCAAGTGGACCTGCAGCCCACACCTGCAAAGGTGCTGAGGGCAGCCAGGCACAGCAGTCTGGTATGTTCAGCACCTCAGACGCCAGCGCTTGCACAGATCAGTCGCCACAGCTGCAGTGACACAGCCTGACCAGCGGGACTCCCGCACTCTAATTCCTGCTCAGTCTTTTTCTTTTTCTTTTTTTTTTTTTTTTTTTTTTTTTTTGAGAAAGGGTCTCATTGTGCAATCTAAGCTGACTCTGAACTCACTCTGCAGCCCAGACTGGCCTCAGACTTGCAACGATCCTGCTGCCTCAGCCTCCCGAGTGCTGGGACTGCAGGTATACACCTCCACACTGGTTGGGTATTCCTCCTTCTGTTTGGCATCAGCCCTGGGGATGGGACCCAGGGTTCCCACACACCAGCGAGCCACGCCCACTGCTAAGCCAGGCCTCTGGCAACCAGGCCTACACCTGAGGCTGAGGGAGGAAGGCTGAGCTCCAGTGTAGCAGCGTGGGCAACGCAGCAAGACTTCGTCTCCAAGTAAAAAGTCTTCTGAAGGCACTGGGCATCAAAGCTGGACGGGCACATGAGCACCCGCCTGCCACTCACCTCAAGCACTGGCCCCGCACCCAGGATGGTCCTTTCCACACCGCTGGCATAGCCCTTCTGGCTGAGCGCAGTGAGGCAGTGAATGAGGAAGTTGGTGCTCTGCGTCTTGCCCGAGCCGCTCTCGCCCGAGATAACGATGCACTGATTCACGCGCTTGCGCAGCATGGTGTAGTAGGCCACATCAGCCAGCGCGAACACGTGCGGCTCCAGCTTACCCAGCCGCTGGTTCTCATAGAGCTTCACGTACTTGGGGTTGTAGATGGGCAGGAACTTGAAGGGGTTGATGGCTACCAGGATGCTGCCGGCGTAGGTGTAGATCTTCTGCTGCAGGAAGCGGCACTTGAGGCTGCGCAGCAGGTTCTCCTCTGTCAGCTCAGGCAGGTTGCACAGGTCATCCACATCAGCTTGTGGTGGAGGCAGGAGGCCGCGTTGCACCAAGCGCCGAGCCGCCGAGGCCTGCGTCACTAAGGGCGAGTGCACATGCTGGATGGCACCATCGGCACCACGTTCCTGCAGCAGGAAGTAGTAGCCATCCTCGCGCGGGTGCTCAGCCTGTGCCCGGCGCGGCCACAGCAGCACACGGTGCACGGGGGCATCGCTGGCGTCCAGCAGCCACTCCTCACCGCCAGCCTCCTTCACCTCCGCCAGTGCATAGAGCCTGCTGCCGTCCAGCTGTAGGCGGGCCACAGCCTCGCGGATGACCTCGGCCGTGGTGCTGTCCTTGGTGGCAGTCACACAGCACGAGGCCGGGCTCGGTGTCCAGGACAGCTGTGGGTAGATGTGCAGGCCGTAGGTGCCCTGCTCCTGGCGGCCCATGCCGCCTGCCTCTGTACTCACACTCATCCTGCCGCCCGTGGGGCCTCCGCATGCCGCCCGGGCCTGGGCGCGTGCCGGCTTCTGCACCTGCAAGGGAGGGCGGCGAGTCAGGCAGGTGGGGCCGCCCGCAAAGGCAGGCAGCCCCTGAATGAGGCCCATGGCCCTGCTGTCTCTTTCCCTCTCTTTGCAGCTCTGGGGACTGAACACAGACCCTGAGCTCCCGCCTCAGCCTTGTGCACCCTTTATTCTAAATGACAGGGCTTAACTCTGGGACCCTCCAGCCTCAGCCTACAGGAGCACTAGGACAAGAGCTGTGTGCCTCCATAGCAGCCCCCTTCTTCATGGTTTTTGTTTCCACTCAGACTCGTTGCACTGACTGGCCTCAAGCTTGCAGCTCTCCTGTCTCAAGCTCCTGAGTGACTGGAATCAGACCTGTCTCCACTCTAATACCTTCCCCCATAAAAGCGCAGCTGCCAACCCCTCCCTGTGGCTCTTAGGATGAGTGCCATCGCTGGACACCCGCCGGTCCAACCCCCCATTGAGCTTGCGGCCAAGCCTCCCCATGCAGCTGCCCTGCAGACCTCTCCTCAGGGCCTTGGCTGTGGCCTGGAGTGCTAGGGTCAGGCCAACTCCTTGCCACCACTGGTGGGTAGACTAGGGGCGCAGGGAACACTGGTGAAGGAGGCAAATGCAGGACAACAAAGTCGGGCCTCTGACAACATTCACCCTGGAAGACCACTGGCCCTGGCCTGTGCTGTGTGCCTGGGCCCAAGGTGCGGCAGAGGCCAAGAGGCCCAGCAGCCTGGTCAGGATTAGGGTCATTCTTTGTTACCTGCATGGGCCCCTCCTGCAGCCCCCGTGCCATCCCCACAATGCCAGGAGTGTGGCTCAGTAACTCCAGTCTCTCAGCCCCAAAGCCACAGGCGCCACGAAGCTTGGCGCTCTGCAGTGTGCACCGGGACATGAGCCAGGACAGGCTTGCTCTGTACAACTCTGCCCTCGCACTTTCCTGTCAACCCTAAAGTAGCCCACAGAAAACGCCTCTCCTTTTCCTCTGCTCTCTGGCGACAGAGCCGGTGCCTGGTTCCACTCAGGGAGCACCCTCCAGAGCCACACCCCCAGCCCTCCCACAGCTGAGTTCTAATTGCATTCCTGTATGCGTGTCATCCCATCACTGAGGAGACTGAGGCAGGAGTATCACTGAAAGAGACTTCACTGAGTCCCTGTCTCAAAAAATAACCACAAAAGCACTCATCTGCTCCTGAAGGCTGCAGGAGACAGCAAAGGCAAGCAGCACTGCAGAGAGCCCCTGGGGCCTTGGGACACAAGGCCATGGTACACACTGGGACCCACGTGAGCTGAAAGGAAGCTAAATGGAGCCTGGCTTGGGCCGAGGAGGAGAGGCAGACAGGCCACCAAATGTGCATAGGCTTAAAGCGCAACCCCAAGTGACACTCAGCAGAAGCAATCATCCTATGGGGCCAGCATGGGAACACCAGGATGTGTTCTGAAGGATGGAGACAAGTCCGTTCCTGAGGTGGGTGATCAGTGAGGAAGATGTGACAAGCCCATTCACTGCTGGCTGTAAGAGGAAAGCATCCCAGGCATAGACCATGGGCATCCCTTGCAATAGCAGGGGAGGGTACCTAGTCACAGCCGACAGGAGGGCTCACACGCTCAGAATGCTTACCACAAGGCCCCGTGCAGCAAGGGTGTGCTGACCTCTGGCCCAGCAGAAGCGTGACTCAGGGTCATGAGCCCAAGGGGCCAGGGCTACCAGGGGCCTGGATGACAGAGCATGAGGTCAGAGGGGGAGGGGCCTGGCTAGAAGCAGCCAGAGCTCTCAATCCTACCCCTTCCCCGGGGCCAAGGAGTCTACCCCTCCTTCCAGGGCCAGGACTTGCTGTGTGCAGCCCCAGTCCAGCCCAGCACCACAGAACGAAGGACTGGATCCTGACAGCTGCTGGGCCTGTCTGGGCTCCCTGGGCAGCACTGCCTTTCACATGGGCTGGGCTGGGTCCTGAACAACCACCCACCCCAGACATTTCCACCAGGGACCCAACTCTTCATAGACACAACCGTATAGATGCTCCCCCCCCCCCACAGGCTTTGACAGCCTAGTGCTTCTAGTTTTTTGTTTATTAAATAAACCAACTATTCTCAGACAGAGCACTGCTAAGCCGCTACACTGCCCAGGCTGGGCTCAAAGTTTTGACCTTCCACCTCAGCCTCTGAGTGCCAGGGGCCCACCACACACCACCAGGGAAAGCAACCAGCTTGCAATCCCTTTCCACCACTCACAGGCACCTGACTGCGTCTTCCCCACCTTTCTGAGCACCACCTGGTTCGGCCTCCCGGGAGAATTTAGGACAAACACAGAAGCATGCTAGCTCTGGGTTCAAGCAGCTACGCGGCCCTTTGGAAAAGTACAGTACGAGGGGCGGCCCACACAGCTTCACAGAAAACACTCTGGAGGGGAGGACAGTGCGCCTTGCAGGGTCTCGAAGTGGTGCTTCCCAGGAGGGTGGCCATGGCCCAGTGGAACGGAAACCCGAGACAAAGGTTGGCGTACACCCAGCAGCCGCCAGCTCCATACCCCTGAGTACTGCAAAAGGGCCACAAATCCCTGCTCACCATGCTCACAGTCGGACCCCCGACCCCCAGGTAAAAAGGAAGCCAGCTTCCATCATTGGTGCATGGGGCAAACAGAAAGTAGAATATTATTCAACCAGGAAAAAAGAAACACTGCCACATGCTGGGACGTGGCTCAACTGAAAACATGACGCAGGGTGACAGTGGCCAGGCACAAAGTCAAAGTGTGACACCACCGCCATGACACGGTCCAGTTTGGTGGACGAAAGTGCACATCCACACCCCGCTCCAGCTCCTGGGTTTGTCCTTCATACCTGGCCTCTGTCCATGCAGACCACACACAGCCGCCACAGCCCTGCCCCACAGGGATGGTGGCTCCAGGCCTCTGCCAATCCTCAGCTTGGGATGCCCTGCCCTCGTCCCTGTCCCACTGTGGGAAGGTGATAACTAGCTCCCAGAAGCTGCTGCCGCCCCCAGGATGCAAGCGTGGCCTCGGTGGCTTCCAGCACACTGCCCTCGAAGGCCGAGTCCAAGTCCCTGCTGTCCTGGGACTGGACGTTAGCTAACTGCACAGTGGCCCGATGTCTGTCTTAAGTGCAAGTGAAACCTGTCCCCCAGGAGCCCCAAACAAGAAGTGGGCCTGGGGGACCAGGGAGATGGCTCAATGGAATAAGCGCTTCCCTGGCAAGCACCAGGGCTGAGATCAATCTCCAGTTCCTTAAAAAAAAAAAAAAGGGCCAGGGAGATGGCACACTGGAATTTGCACTTCCCTGGCAAGTGCAGGGGCCTGAGTTCAATACCTGGTACAGCAAAAAAAAAAAAAAAGTTTCTTTGGGGGCCGGGGAGATGGCTCAGTGGAATAAGCACTTCCCTGGCAAGCGCAAGGGCCTGAGTTCAATCCCTGGTTCCGCCAAAAAAAAAAAAAAAAAGAAGTAGGTCTGGGGTTTTGGAACAAGCCCTGGGGGTCCTTGGAGGCAGGAATCCAGAAAAATCATCCTTTCCTGACCCAAACAATCATATTGCTCCCCCTGCCAGAGTTGAGGTATCCGTCTCACAAGGCAAGCCACCTTGTAAGGCCAAGAGGAAGTAAAGTACATCCTCAAACTCGAGGGTGACTCGGCCACGGGCTCACCAAAAACCATCTCGTCACCACATGGAAATCAAACTGAAAATGCAGACATAGCCCACGGTGAAGGGCACGGGGCCAGAATGCAGCGGAGTACTACACGGCCGTGCACAAGCAATGCATTCTGAGCCGCAAGACAAACCCTCTAGAACAGAAACATCGAAGCAGCCAACACCCAGGGCAAGCAAGCGTGGCTCACACCCAGAAAGCATCTGGACAGGCAGGTTGCAGAGACTGCAGTGGGCCTGCTTGGGTGTGGGAGGGCCAGGTGACCACGCAGGGCAGGAAGGTGCTGGAACCAGAGTCCTAATTGGCCCTCAGAAAATGTGTGAGTGCTGGGGATCAAACTCAGAACCTTACACGTGTCAGACGGGCACTCATGCCACTGAGCTATCTCCCCACCCCCCATAGAGAATGTGGCCACTGTTTCTGGTGACTGAGCTTATGTCACACACGTGTGACTGCAGTGATCACTGATGTTGGCTTAAAACCAGAAATGTGACATGGCAAGGTTCTGCGGCTGTAGCCTGTGTGCCTCCCACCCATCGAGGGCACCTCTCACACTGTGCGGAGGCATGAGGGAGAGGCTTGGGTGGGCGCTGGGCAAGCACGTGCACGTGGCAAGCCTCCACAGCCTGCTCTGGGGCTGGAGTCGAAGGAGGCAGGCAGCTAGACCGGGCCAGAGGCCGCCCTGAGGCTCAGGCTAACCGGCTGAAGTCACTGCAGCTTAGGCTCGGGAAGGCAAGCATCCTGCACTTTCTGGGCACTGTGACTCGTCCTGCAGGGGGCAGAGAAGGGCATTCGGGGCAAAGTCCCCTGGGCGGGTCCAAGCCCAGGAATGTGCTGCCGCTTCACCCTGAAGGGAAGGTGTCCCCTGGTGGACAAGGGGAGGAGAGCTTGATGCCAGTGTGCGTGAACAGAAGTCAGGGTGGGTGGGATGCCACTGGCGCAGGGCTGGGCACAGCCCTAATGAGAGTGCAGTGTCACACAACTGCATCCGCAGCTGGGCACAGCGGCCCATGCATCAAGCAGGCTGAGGCAGGGAGACCCCTGCAAGTCTAAGGCCAGCCTGGATCACCTCGTGGCCACCCATAATCTCAGCATGCAACCTTGCCTGGAATGCATCTGTGGCACTGAAGGAACAGCAGGGAGAAGATGGCAGCAGAGATGGGGTGGCCTGGGGCCTCAGAGGGAAGACGAAGAAGGGCTCCTGTGCAGGGAGGGGGCATGGGGGCTGCACGGCCCGCATCCTCATCTGCTACCTTCAATGGCAGCCTCAGGACCCCCTTCCAGGGCCCAGCAGCAGACAGCCAACAGCCGTCAACAGCCCAGGGGCCTGGAAGCTGCAGCCTGAGGCCACGTGCTCCTG